GATGTGAGTTTTGTGGATGATTGTCTGCTAATTTCTGTAAATTTAAGGAGATTTGTTACCCATATGTAATTTGCCTTTTCAGAAACATGTAGAGTGTGTGTACCTTCAAGCAGCAACTACAACATTAGTGAAGGGTTTTTCGAACGGTGAGCTGCATGTCAGATCCAATTTTATTAGGACATTCATTTCTGGATATCTTACATTAATCTATTGCTTCATTTCTATGTGTGGAATAACAATACAATTGGGATTTTTTTAGCCTCTCTTCTCTGCCTCCCATTTGCAGTTCTGCCCCCTCTCCTTATCCTTTATCTTACAGTTCTGAACATCAGCAAGAGGAGTTTGCTTGGCCTGCACCGATGTGTCTGCGGGTTTTCGTAAGTAGTTTTGTAAGCAGTTTGGAAGTCAGAAGATACAGCAAATAAGCTAAATTCTATATGGTAGCTCACGGCTGCAAGACTATAAAACACCTGCATTATTTTTGATCGTGCCGCGAGTCAGCTCTATCTTTTATTTCTGTTTTAGATGGTTGCTACAGAATAGTTACCTCTTGTGGAGGAATGTTACAGGTAACCATTCTAAGATCAACCCTGGTAAACATATCTGTACATGGAAGTACAAAGAACATACCTGAAAAATAAAAATAATGAGATGAAACGTGTCTGAAAGCTAAATCTAGAACCAGATATCGTGTACAAAGCAACAGATGGAAATATCCACAGGGTGGGTAATGAGCCCACCTCCTTACCACAGCTGCCCTTTCTGGTACAGCAGGTGACAACAGCGAGGTTTTGCATTTTCAAATAACAGAGGGAAATGCAGATATCTGCAAATAATGTGAATTTATTAGAGCTTAATGACCTAGGGCTCTGGACTGGGAATGGGCAGATTGCAGTTCTGGTCTCAAACCTGCAATGAGACTTTTGGCAAAAATTCCTTCCATGCCTTTGTTTAGTTTCCCCTTTTTAAATCATAAGCCAAACATGGTACAGTATGCGTGTCCCCAGGAAAGACATCCCCCAGGTCCAGATTCCTGCACCACCTGTAGGTTTCCACACGAGGAACGTTGTCCCAAGATCTGGCACATCCCGTGAAGGAGTCCCCACTCTCCCTTCACTGGAGAGGGAGACTTGACACAACTATTCTTCTAACCTCAACACCTTGCCTAGGTGCCCAGAGCCACACTGAAGAGTTCTGCACCTGCCCTAGCTGCTCTGTGGACCACATGGCTATTATTCAAGAGGAAGGACAGTACCTGGAAAGGACTTTTTCCTCTTATTTCAACTTCCAGTTTGCCCAGTTTCATTGCACAGAAGTGGTAACTGCACCAATGCAAATACCTCATGTTGTTGGGTTTGGTTTGTATTTGTGATTTGTAACTTCATTCTAGGTGACTGTAACAAACCATATAGATGCAGACTGTCCCTGCCCTGGCACATTTACCATTTTCAGAGCAGAAGACAGCTACAGAGCTGGCAGAAACAAGCAGTGTTGGAGGTGAGGTACAGGGAGAGTGGTCACAATCACTCAAAAAAGTCCATGGCAGACCTGAAGACTGCATTTAAACCTCCCTGGTCCCCACCAGTGTCTGCAGTATGAGTTCAACCTTCTGTTGTCCAACCTACTCAACAGCAAAGTCATACCTGGTATGTCCAACCTACTCAACAGCAAAGTCAAAACTGGTATCAAGGTCCTCAAACTTCTGTGTTGCTCTGTGACAGGGGGGTGGCTTTATCTTCTCTTCAGAAAAACAAACAGCCTGCCGGTAAAGGAACTGCAGCAGAGAGGACGACCTCATTCCCCCTATGCTATGAAGAAGGATTTCATGGACCTCTGCAATTCTTTATGTGATTGGAGTGCATCATAATGAAATAAAACCAGTGCATCTTAACAGAATAAAACGGCATGCATTCACCTGGTCCTTTTGCTTTCTTAGACAGTATACATCCCAGTCGAAATACAACAGCACGTTCATATTCTCTGATAACCTAGGAAAATATTTTAAATTTAGAATTTTACAACTAATTCTATTCCTGCTCTCTGATCTGATTTTTTAAATCTTTGGCATCTGTATTAAATGTGAAAAAAGTATAAATAATATAGGAACCAATAAAGCTGCAAATCACTAGGGATTTTACGTCTTCTCCTCACCTTTTTCACGCTTTGCTGGAAAAATTCAGACCCTGGCCCTGCAAACACATTACAAAACAGATTGAATATGAAATTGCCACTGATCTAATGAGGCTACCCGCAACTCTCTCAACATCAGTAGTGTAGTCACTCGGAGGAGCTGTAGGCAAGATACGTCTCACCTCAGACAATCCAGCTAAAACTACTCCGGTTAGTGTATCAGGACTACTCAAAGCCTGGTGTTCGGGGCAATCACCCTGGTAACTCACTCCTAAAAATGGCTTTAAATTAATCATATTATGCCCATGTCTCAAAGTGGCCTTTTGTAGGTTAAGGTTATATAGTTGCTCAATGTAGGGACCCATGTTCGCATGTCACTCACTATTGCTGGCAGCATCAAATATGAGTTCTTTAGAAAAGTTTGTGTATTTATTCTCCCAGTGATGTAAAGCAGGGAAGTTTAACCGGTGATGGAAGTTGAGACTGGAAGAAATTAAATAAGTTGTGGTGATACAGAAAGTCAGTGGAAGAACGTGTATCTTGGTCCCAGACCACATCTTTGCTACAAGCCCTTATAATTCCCCCAAAGTGAATGTGAAGTGCCTTTTGTTATCAAAATCAATAAAACAATAAACATAAGTAACAATGATGATAAGACAGTGTTCTTTATGCGCCTCAAATGCCACTAGCTTACCTTGATACACGCCCAGAGGGAAATAGGAGCAGGAGGAACAAAAGGGAAACCAGGATCCATCCACAGGCACCAATGCCTTTCCGCCTGTCGGCTATAAAAAAATAAGGAAAAAGAGCGATGAATGCAAATTGTGAAGAGAGTTATCCGAGGGATGCAGATCTAGCCCAGTGCAATCATGAGGGACTGCAAAGTCCACAGAGACTCACTGCCTCTTCCTCCCTCCCATCGCTCACAGAAAGCCATAAAAGCCCTAACCAAACATCCAACCTTATGGCCCTTCTGCCCGAAAGGTTAAAAGGTTCAGAAAGACATTTTGCAACAGAAAAGAAAGAGGAAAAATGAAAGGCATTGCCAAAGCTGGGGGCTGTGAAGGAGAAATAAGTCATTGGGTGGAGTATCCATGGGTACGAAACTGTCAGTGTGCCACGGCTGGGGCAAAAGATTTTGTTTGTATGAAACAGGTAATAAGGAAAATAAGGGGAACTCTTGCTGTCTTTAGATGAATGTTTTGAGAAATATTGATGGACCAGTCCATCCCTTGGAGCATAAGCTTCAGAACGAGTGCTTGTCAAAATGCACGCCCATGCATTTTGAGTAGTTCTCTCACTGCGTTCCACTCGTCTCATTCCAAAATTTCATTATAATGAAATTGCATTATTTCATTATAATGAAATCAAAATATAACAAAATAATTTCATTATTTTAGTGCCTGAAGGGAAGGTAGTGGTGAGTTGCTGTTAAAGTACTAAGAGTTTGGGAAGTTTTGTGTAAGGAAAAGGTGATCAAGGAGCAGCAGCTCTTTGAAGAGAAGAGCAGCTGGAGCTGCTGAGGTTTTCACAGAAGAGGTACAGAAGAGGGCAAGGAGTGAAGCAGGACAGTCCTGCCATCAGGACAGCGTGCTGCAAGGTCAACGGAATTTTTGCTAAATGCAGAAATGCCTTGGATCAGGAGAGTCACAAGAAAAGCAGAAGCGGCAGGGATGCAGGCTGGGCTAGCCCCCAAGGGCTGCCCAGCTGCCAGGTTTGGGCCAGAAGAGGATTTTTGCAGGCATGAGCATCAAGAGATGGGAAGCTGAATTTCACAGCCTGTTTCCCAATGCAAGGGGAAGAGGCAGGAGAGAGGGACGAAGGCTCAGCGGTCTCCTCAGTGAATCTCCCCCATGCTGATGGAAAGATGCAGCGTGTTTTGGATATGTTACTTTAAAGTTATAGGGTAGCACTGGGAATTTCTGACATCAAATAAAATTCATACGCAGATAGAAACTGATAAATAGAGAAGAAAACAATTCGTTTTATGCTTTGTGAGAAAAAACTCATTACCGCAGTGAAACAGCATGAGGCTACCTGATCTATAAGGGACAAGCTAACAGAGCAGGGGAGCAGGACTGACAGGTCTGTCAGAAAACCCCCAGCAACCCAAAGCAGGAGACACAACCCAGCCCTCCTGCAGCTCCTTCCTCTCTCCGGTACCTCTGCCTGTAGCCGGAATGCGCCTGCTGGCAATGTTTAATGCAAACCTGGGTGTTGCAACCAAGCCCTTTGCTGCTTGCAGTTTTGCCCATCCTACCTCTGAGGTTCTCGTTGTGGATTTAATCACTCACACATAAATATGTTTGCATCCTCCCCGAGAGCTGGGCACAGAATTGCTTTCCTCCCGACCCTTTCCAACAAACAGTGATTTGAAAGCCCTGGTTGTTTCACGAGGTATCATCAGCCATTCTGCAATCAGTGGTAGGAATGATTTGAGGAGCTCCCCTGAGTAGGTTCCCATGCAAACTTTAAAGCCATGTGTACGAAGACAGGACTTTTAAGATTTAATGTGAAAATCTTTAACTCTTTCACTGCTGCTTGTTTGCCACACAGTGCACTTCACGTTACACTGGTGGTGTGTCAGGCTACGACAGGTACATGAAGTACAGGCAGTCAAGCCTCTTTTAATCAGTGGAAAGAGATCATTGAACGGGCATCACTCATAATTCTTAATCCGAAACTTGGAGAAATTAATCCTGAAGGGATGTTTTGCACTCTTTATTTCACCTAAATGATTAGCTTACAGGAAAATGTCTGAAGATCTTTTTCTCCAGTGTCAAACCTGCTTATGAAGAACCTCCTCAAAGCGAATTTTGGATTGTAGCATCATCTGCCATCATCTATCTGAGACCACTGCGAAGACACCAGGTAGGAATGACACAATCCAGAGACAGGGGGAATGGCTGGGAACAAATCCCTGCGCTCTGCAGATTGGTATTCGAGCAGCTGAGAAGAGGTAGGGGGTCAAGGTATCACTCATCACCACTATGGGCAAAAAGCACACATCCAAAACTTGACAAAGTGTGATTGGATCCTTCTCCATGAGAACTGTCCTAGAGATCCTGATGCCAGCTAAAAATGTAGATTCCAATGAGAAAAGCAGGATATGAAAGTATGCCTTCTTAACAGTGAATCCAGACCTAGCTCCCCCAAAACCACCACCAATGTTGTCTGACTACCCCACAAGGATAATTTGGTTATCCAGACCTAGCTCCCCCAAAACCACCACAAATGTTGTCTGATTACCCCACAAGGATAATTTAACCACAAGGCAAACAGAAGACTCCAGAAAAACGCAATAGTGAAGAAGAAGGATCGGTCACAACCCAGTGCATCAGTGATCTGGTTTTGCCATGCCTCTGTACAGATTACAATAGTTGTAACCACCAAAAAACCTCACTTGAATCTACAGTCCAGAGCAAACCAAGAGCTGCAATGCCCTGCAAAATGTGAGAGCTCATCAACCAGCAGTTATGAAAAAGCTACAGGACACTTCAAAGATTCACTTAGTTTTTTCTTGACACACTCATCATGGTATATCACAAACACACTTGATACACAAAATCATGATGTGGGTGCCAAACTTGAAAAGTAAATTAAAACTTCATGTCCAAGTTGTCTTGTGAAGAATATAAAGAACTGTGGGTAAAAATTCCCAACAAGCAACAAGAGACGGAGCGGACTCCACCTCTTGTAACTACTATGCACCCTCCTGCTTTCTACAAGCTCCCAAATCAATCCTGCCAAGGTTAACGCTTGTCCCACCGCACTACCCATCCTTACGGCCAGCCACAACGGTGAAAACAGCACACATTGCCAGTAACATCTTGGTTTGGTATCAGTTCCCTTGCTTGAAGAGAGCACCAGGTGTTCATCACACAAGTCCAAACACATCAAGTGTCCTTTTGGGGCTGAAAAACTCTTCTGCCTTCCCTAACTAACTCCTGGTTTTCCCTTTCCACCCCATCCCTACATAGAGAAGTGTATCAATAGCTGAGTCTGCCATTTTAGTCCCTGGGGCCATTTAGCCAGAAGGCAGATGTCGGTGCATGCTGGCAGGGCGGTAGGAGGCAATTGCTCTGTCACTCACAGTGGCAGATTCTGAATTTTCATCTCCAGCTTATGTGGGAGATATGATGAATGCCTGGAACCAAATGTACTTTTTTTGTTTGGTTAGTTTTGCTCCTTTTTATTACTATTGAGAACCCCCTCCCCCCCAAAGCAAGGCTTACCAATGAGATGCTCCATGTTGTCTTTCTTGGGCATCTCCCTCTGGGGATCCATCCCATTCAAGGGAAGCTCTGGTCCCCTCACGGACAAGGCTGCAGCGTATCTTGAAACTGCACAGTGCTCACACAAAGCACTGAAGGGAGAGGCGGGGTGAAAGAGAAATCCCCACTGGTACCAGGGTCCTCTGGGAGCTGGTTACCCTGGTGAGGATAGGATGTTTACAAAAACAAACTCTTGTGGATCAAGGTTGTCTCTGATTAACTCCATGGTCTTCTGTGGCTGTCTTCTGGCTGGGGATGCACTTGGCCCAGCTGGTTTTAGACCCTACAAAACCAAAGCTGGAAATTATTTCTATGAGTCAGTAATATCTGCTGCCAAAGAGGAAAAAAAAAAGAACAAGACAAGACAGAAAGAGAAGATAAAGAGAAAACAAGTCCTATGAGGAGCTGCTGAGGGAGCTCGGGGTGTTTGGTCTGGACAAGAGGAGGCTGAGGGGAGACCTGATCGCTCTCTACAACGACCTGAAAGGAGGGTGTAGCCAGGCGGGGGTTGGTCTCTTCTCCCAAGTAACTAGCGATAGGACAAGACGAAATGGCCTCAGGTTGTGCCAGGGGATGTTCAGGTTGGATATTAGGAAAAATTTCTTCACCAAAAGGGTTGTCAAGCACTGGAACAGGCTGCCCAGGGAAGTGGTGGAGTCACCACCCCTGGAGGTATTTAACAATAATGTGTAATGTGGTGCTCAGGGACATGGTTTAGTGGTGGGCTTGGCCATGCTAGGTTAACGGTTGGACTTGACAAGATCTCCAACCTAAACGATTCTACAATTCTATAAAGCCATAGGGTACAGACTGGGTACTGCTCCTCTGTTGTACATTCTTGATATTACAGGGCTCAGCTGCTGTTCAGATCTCAAACACTGGCAACATACACAACCTCCAGCTGAGGTCCCCATGCTGTGTAGAACTGCGCCTCACACACTTTGTGATACTTTCCATCACTATAGGGTGAACCCTGTCGTGCTAGATAACCTAAAAACCACCGTAGAAGCATTTCAGCTCCAAAGTCTTAAAATTTTCCCCCAAAGAAGAACATTTTTCACAAAATACTTTTTAATATTGACAATCAACCAAGCATAGCATTTCAGACGAAGCCATTTCTGAAGGCTGCAGCAGCAGAGAGCAGCCTTCTCAAAGGACACAAATCTGTGGCTTCTTATTTGAGAAGAATTAAGAGGTGGCTTTTCACATGCAATTTATGAGTTTGACATACAGCTGCATTAATTATACGGCTGTTTTCCATGGGCATCCATCATCTAAAATATCTTTGAAGATCTGGCTCCAGCTTCATTTCTCTTAAGACTTCATTTCTGCCCATAATCACACTGGTCCTAGATGGGTCACTGAAAGCTGATTGCTCCCCAAAGAATCCTTCCTCAGCTTCACAGAGAGGAAACCACACCACTGAATGGATGTTTTAAATCATGGTGAACACCAGAAGCACAGCTTGCAAAACTGGGATCGATGTGCTCATTGCAATATCTTCCCAAATATGTCACAATATCCATTTGAAGTAATTTGTAGCATTTTCCTCATTATTTGGCTTCTCAGGCTGAGTTGTGAGATCAAACCTGTTCAGGACAGATGCCTACTAGCAGGGTAGCAAGGGTGAACAGCTAAAGAGAAAAGTGCTTTAATTATTTCAGAAGCAAAAACATAATATGCAAAACTACCCCAACATGCGTTTTTTTCTATTTTACAGCAACTCACTTTTATTGAAAGTAACTTTATTCCAAGCCATCTGAATGCTACAATATACACAGCTGCTTATACCATCAGAGAGATGAGCAAAACATATTAAAAATCTAACAGAAAGAATTGTTCCCTGCTGTTTATTGACAATTCCCTGAGGTGCCTGTAAATATACCCCTTGAAAGGTGACTAAAGCAGATGGTGCTTTTCTTTTATGTTCAGGAACATAGCTGTATTAATTTCTCCGTGTTAACTTCAGTTGCACTTTTATTCGCCGTTTCCAAAATCTGATCAAAGGCAGGGCAATCTTGATCCTTTCTCCTTGGGGCTACACTGGAGCACATGGATAACTCATGTCGCAAAGTGCTACAAAACACTCAGAGAAGAAAATACATGATGGCTCTGGGGCAAAGCCGTCTACAAGCTGCAAGTTGACGAGTGCTGAACAGCCTGGCACAGCCCTGTGTCACAGAGCAGTACCACAACGAAAACCAGTTTGAGTCCAAAGCCTTGAGCAGGACTTACAAGCAACGTTAGACGAGCGTGGCTCGGGTCAGTGACAGTTCAGCTATTTCTGCAGTGTGCCGATGTAGCCAAAGCCTTCAACTTCTATTCTGAAAGCAACACAAAGGCTCAGGTCAGGCATGAGGATTAGGTGCTTACCTGTCCACACGCCATTCTCCAACATTGCTCTGCACCAACTGCTACATTTGCAAATGGCACCAGTCCTTTACAATTTCTCTGAAGCACCCAGTTGCTCCCACTTGTCATCCAGTTGCAGAGACTTAATCCTACAGACCAAGCACCCACTTCAAAGTTTGTTAAAACCAGAATGGGAATTCTCACACACAACCATTTCTAAACAGTGCCAATCCCAAAGGTATCAAAAAGGTCATCAGGTAGTCCTCACATGAAATTTGCACATAACAAAGTTCTATGTTCCAGTTTGTCTTCTTCTGACCTTTTTAGGCCCATACTACTTTCCTTCCCATGCATTGGGTTTAGCCACTCCCTAAAGGTTTCTCCACCTATCCTTTCCTGGCCCTGAATTCTGCCTAGACACTAGCTTATTTGCTTCAGGCTTGTACTTCCTTTCTCCCAGATCAAACTTTAGAAGAAGGGACAGGATGCAGTGCAGATTACCAGTACCATCCTATTGCTTGTAGGAACAACTCCATACTGCTCCTCCTCCTTGTGAAAATGGCATCAGCTTTCAATAGCTGAAGATGGGGAGATGACAGGAGGCACCTCTTTGACTGCACTTCACTAGAGCAGGAGTGAATACGAGAGACAGTCAATCAAAAGGATAGCTCCCATCTCAATCCAGAAAGGAAGGGAATTTGCAAGAAAGTAAGAACATTCATACCATGGCAAGTTTCCTTCCAGGCCCAGCCAAACGCACAACACTCACTTGCAAATCAGAGGAAGAAGAGGACAGAAAATTGCTCCGTTTCTCTCATATTCACTACAGTTGCAATTAAAGCATTTGAAAGAAATATTGGAATTTGTATTTGCAAACACAATCCCAGTATGTTCTTAGTTGTTCCAAATAAAGATTTTTATTTCAAAGAACATTTCACTACACCTTATCTTCGCAGTCTGTCAACATTGCTGAAATATAGCATAATAGGCAACTTGAACAATGAAAAAATCATAGTCCAGAATTGAAGTGACACAGCAACAGCCCTTTCCCAGCACAGTCTCAGTGTAAGATTTGGCATGGTTTGCCCCAGGAGCAGACTCTTCTTTGGCTTTTTAAAAATGGTGCTTGAGTAAGCATGAAAAAAAGCTCAGGAAATATCACCCCCTTCAGAAATTCCAAGGTTGGGTCACAGGAGTTTGCTGCAATGCAGAACACACACTTTATTCCTGAAGAGAAAAAAATTAATAAAAACAATTTTACATCAGGAGAAATATTTAAGAAATTGAAACTTACCTTAATCCTAACCACTGGAAAGTTCAATTTACAAAATCCTGCTCAATATGATTCACTAAGAACCAGAGAGCTCATTCTAGACAAAAAAACTTGATGGTTTATTGCTTCTTAACTTATTTGTTCACTTGTCTAACACTGATGTCCAGCTTCTATGTAAAACCACCCCAGCCATGCATCAAATGCTCTTTTCTGGGTAAGCAGCATTTGATACAGTGGATATTCACTATTTCTCACCTGTTTTCACTTGGAGAAACAGGGCTTCACAGTCTCTTAGGTATCTTTGAGTTAGCTAATGTTCAGACAGAAAAATCCAACCACCCACACCCCATGATCATTCAATAGATGTTTTCAGAAACAGACGTACAAACTGTACAAACTGCTTACTTTTTGATAAAACACTGCATAACAGCTGATGTCCAGTACTTGGTTTTGACTACAAGGTAATGTGAATTAGTTTAAACTTCAATCAAAAGTAATACGTAAATTTGATTATTACAATGCAAGACTACCCAATTGCTGACAAAGTATTGAGGACACTATTTAAATTTTTTACGTAAACACTTCATAGGATATTTCTATTGCCACTCTTTAGGAAACCAGTTTTATAATTCAGTATATAATTCTGCATCAAAAAGAAACAGCATAAGCAAGATCAAACATTATGAAGTGTCTTAGTACAAACAAGTTTATTCATCTGTATTTTAGGTAAATATGTAAATAGTCAGCAAAGCCTTGTTGTCATGACTGTAAACCTTTTATTTAAAAAAATTGTGTTAAAAACCAATACAGGAATTTCCGTTAATGTTCTAAAAAAGTTTGTTCACATCTTGAAAGAAAATACATTAGCAACATCTCCCAGCAGAATTCATCTTTAAAAAAGTAAAACTCTAGGTGCAGAGCTTTTCTAAGTATAGTATCCTCTACATTTTAATTTAAACACAGGATTGAATATCATTCATCTCTGTTGTCTCTAGGACATGATCAAGAGTTTATCTTAAATAGATGATATTCAATGATGTGTTACACATTGCCACAGGTACTAACATTATTAGAAGAGTGCACAACTGACTTTCACTAACAGAGCAAGACCTTTCTATACGCTGCGTCATAACCCTTCCTAACCAATACAGTTAATTTAGCTATATGCCTTTAAAATCCTGTACGTTTTCCAAGGAAAAATAATAAAAAAAAATCCATGGTCCAAATTCTGCTCCCGCTTATATTCACAGGATAACGTAAGCACCATCAAGTTGTGGTTTATAGCGGAAAAGCATGTAGAGAACAAGTGAGTTTACGAGTATAAGGGAGAGAAGAACTTGACCCATATCTGTAAACATTCACAGAAGTCTGCAGTCAAAAGTGCCGGC